AGCTCTGGCCATTGCGGCCACTTAGGGAAGTGAATCAGTGGATGGAAGATTTTTCTGTCTCTCCTTCTCTGTAAATCTGACTTTCCAAATAAAAATAAATAAATCTTTAAAAAATGAACAATCCAGCTAAACATGATACCATTTCATCTTCTGTGATATATAGTAAATAGCCTGCCATGGTATAATCATGGGGTGGGGGATGTTAGATCCCATCCAGGGTGATGGTTGCACTTAGGGCTGTGTGTCCCCACACGCCCCAGGTCAAATGCAGTTTTACCAGGGTCAGGTTGGGCAAGGAGAATGTTAGGAGCTTGGCTTCTGCAGTGGACAGGCCCAGCTCTGACACCCAACGGAGCTAAGGGTTTGAAACGGTCCCACTTTGAATAAAGCAGCTTAAAAGCAGACAGGAACCAGCTGCATGGTCTTAGATGGGTGGTGCTAGGCAATGTGGGGGACGGTTATAACATGAGGGGAGTTTTTTTTATTTAAAAATGTTATTTGTTTGGGGGGGGCAGGCGCTGTGACGTTTCAGGTTGTAGCATTGGCATCGCATCTGGGCTCCAGCTCAAATCTCAGCCACTCCACTTTCAATCCTCTCCCTGCGCACGTTTCTAGGAAATCAGGCGAGGATAGTCTGAGTGCTCGAGCACCTGCACCCATGTGGGAGACCCAGAAGAAGCTCCTGGCTCCTGGCCTGGGACCCAGCGAGCTCTAGCCATGGTGGTCTTTAGGGGAGTGAAGCAACAGATGGAAGATCTTTCTCTCTCTTTGTAACTCTGCCCTTCAAATGAATAAACACATTTTCAAAAGCGAGAAAGTACTTATTTTCATTTTACTTGAAAAACACAGAAAAAGAGCTCCTATCTGCTGGTTTACTCTCCAAATGCTTGTGATAGCTGCAACTGGGCCTGGGAGAGGCCAGGGACCCGGAATTCCAGCCTGGTCTCCCATGTGGATGGCTGGGACCCAAGCTCTCCAGCCATCATCTGTTGCTACAATCCGGTTCCGAGCAGAACCGGAGCCCAGGTACCCGGATGGGGGATGGTAGGCATCCCAAGCAGCGGCTTAGCTACAGAGCCTGCCACCTGCTCCAATGTGTCACCACATTTCATGGCCACGTGAGGTCTGGCACGGTCCTACCTCAGTCAAAAGCTTCCTGCGTTCCTCCTGCAGGAATTTAAACAGAATTCAAATCTGGAAGCTTCCCTCTGAAGGAGAGCAAGCGGGATTCACAGCACAAGTTCCTCACACTCCCTCCTTCTTGCCCGATTATCTGACACCGTAGGCTGTTCCAGAAATACCATCCAAAGCCCTGACTTCCCTCCACGTCCCTCGTTCCCAGCTCTGCAGGCCAAACCCCCAGGCCCTCCCCCCCCCCCCCAAAGAAGCCTTGAAACACCATCTTCACTATTCAACACCACGAAGAAAGTCCGAATACCCGCAAGTGTGCGAAATGCCAGATCCAGAAACAGTGAAAGACTTACGCTTAGTTAGTCACCCTCAAAAGCAGAATTTCAAAACCCAAGTTGGCGGGGGGAGTATTTGGTCTAGCGGCTAGTGTCTTCCTTAGAGCTTAGGCTTCACTCTCGACTCAGCTTCCTGCTAATGTCCCCCGGGAGGCAGCGGTGATGGCTGAGTCACTGCGTTCTAACACGCACGTGGGAATCCTGGGTAGAGTCCCCAACTCCCAGCTTTCACTGGTGTTTTGGTAATGAACCAACGAGTGGGAACAGTTCTCTGTCTTTGAAAAAGTTTATTTACTTATGTATTTGAAACATAGTGTGACAGAGTAAAATCTGGAAGGAAGAAGGGAGAGGGGAGAGAGAGATCTTCCATCTGCTGATTCACTCCCCAAATAAACGCAACAGCCATGGCTGGACCAGGCTGAAATCAGGATCTTGGAATTCCATCCAGGTCTCCTTTGCTCATGACAGGGACCCAAGCCTTTGAGTCCTCACCTGTTGTCTGGGAGCTCTTTGTCTATTTGCCTCCGTGCTTCTCAAAATACAAAAATAAAAGACTCACTAAAAGATTTTGGGAGCCGGATGGCCTTGACGGCTTGGAGCCGGATGGCCTTGACGACTTGAAGTTGGAAATGGCTCTGACCCATTTGCCAGCGTTGACTGTGCATATCTCTTTCTCCCTGAGTTTGGCTCCAAGTTGCTCTTGTCATGGATAGCTGTAACTGAGCAAGTTTCCGTCTGGAGGGCTAGTTGTACACATTTCCAGCACTGCACTGTGCATAGAATGAGGCTGTGTAAAGCATTATCCCCACTTGGATGTCGGTTCACACGCTACCATGTTGGTTACCGTGCAAGATGGGAAATGCTATACAAACCGAGAGGAAGCTTCTATTTAGTGTACAGTGTTTGCTGAATCTAACAAAAACAAAACACGGGGCTCGTTTTTATATGCTTTGCTTCTTAGATGTCCTTTTAGCTAGTATTTTTTTTATTGCATTTTACCAAAACTCTGATCTATAACAGGTTGAAGCTCAAACAGAATGGATGTTCATCAGTAGACGGTGTGAAACGCTCTGATGTTGGATTCTGCAAATCCAAAGAACATATTATAGAGACAGGCAAGGTGTGCTCCTCTGCTTCCAATCCAGCTCCTTGCTAACGTGCATGGAAAAGCAACAGAAGATGACCCATGAGCTTGGGCTCCCGCCACCATGTGGGGAGACCTCGAGCAAGCTCCTGGCTTCAGCCAAATCCAGCCAAAACCATTGTAGCCATTGAGAAGTGAACCAATGGCTGAAGGATCTCCCGGTCTCTCTAAAATAAAATCAAATCTTAAACAAAAAAAAAACAGAACATATCTGAGAGCTCATTTGAACCTGTAGTCTATTTTAGGGAGCATTTATGAAGAGAGCAAAAGAGAAAAAGTGTGAAGGGAAAGGACAAAATCTAGAAGCCACTGCAACAGCCCAGACTAGGACAGCTCGGGCTTGTGGATTTTGCATCAGGTCTGGCGCCTGTTTCTGCAGAGGTGTGTGAACTGACTGTGGTATCTGCAACAGCGGGGGTGAGGGAGCTTGCCCCAACATCTTGTTCTGGCCACTTCTCTTTAACAGAGAACTGCAGGATGCTCTGAGAAGAAGAAACTGCATCTTAAGAGCGAGGAATAAAGAGAAGGGTGTTTGAGAAGGAAAGCAGGTGCTCCGTGTTTTTTGGAGGGCTGCTCGGTGGCTGATGACAGGGCTGGTTGAGTGTAGGGTCCCAAGGGAAGCCGCCCGGGCAAGAGCTCCAAGATGCAGGATGGCCCATTCAGCCAGCGGCTGGTGTACGCAAGCAGCCCATCTTTGGCTGAGAAGTTAGAGAAAAGGTGGCACTGTGTGGCAGGAGGCTGGCTCAGGTGACTAGAGCAGGCATCACTGGAATCATGGCAGCTTCTCACGGACAGACAAGCCCAACATGGGTGTCCTCTCTCCACGGTTGCTCAGTGCCACCTTGGGACCCTGACTGCAGGAAACCCACTGTTCCCTGACTTTAGCTCTGGCTCTGAACCTCCAAATCCATGAACTGCATCTCCCCCTCCCCCCCCCAAAACCCTATCTTTCTAAGTAACATGTCTTGGATGCTTTACTGGAGTAAAAAAGGATTAAGACAAAGCGCCGAGCCAGGGGAGCAAGAGATGGCGAATTCGTTCAGGCCCTTGAAGTGCTACTAGATGTTCCTCCTCTCCAGGGAGCAAACCCTTACTCCGGATGGGACAGTGAGCCGTGACCTCTAGTGAGCAGACTGCAACATTCCCATTTGACTTGATACAAACATTCTAAGGTGCAGGGCCAGGTGATGGCAGCCCTGAGTGTTGGAATGCTCAAGCTTTCAAACCCCCGTCATTTTACTAGCTCAGACTGCTTCTATTCACCCCCCAAAAGAATCCAACAAAGCCCAGCGTTTCCCAGGAGTGACGCCTCCATGCAGAATGCTCAGTGCTCCACAGGAACTCAGGCAAGAGCCAGAGAAGGAACAACTGAACCTGAAGGGGCCCACACAGGGTGCACCAGCTGCAACTTTTCCAAGATTGCAGGAAGCAAGCACATTGAGCACAGCTGTCTCGGTGCTGTTCGGGACACTCTTATCTCCTGGCGCAGTGGCTGGGTTTGTCCCCGAGCCACTCCCGGGTCCGACTTCCTGCTAGTGCGCACCTGGCAAGCAATGGTGATGACTCAGGCTGCTAGGTCCTCGCAGCTCAAGTGGAAGGTCGGGGTGGAGCTCCCAGCTGCTGGCTGCAGCCCGGCCCAGCCCCGGCAGTTGGGGGGCGCATCAGCAGATGGGAGCTCTCTGCCTGTTGCACCGTTTCTCTCTGCCTTTCAAACGGATGGAAATAGCTCAGAAAGCAACTCTACAGAAGAAAAATGCACACGACTATGTTGTTGCAGACTGTTCACAGCAGGCCACCCAGAGTGTGGTGGTCAGCTGCCCGGCAGGGGACGCGGAGACCGCGGGGGGCGGTGGAGACATAGTGTGCCATTGGCCTCCGCTGGAGGACAGGCTCCCAAGAGGTGGCTGACTTCCACTGAAGTCATCTTCCACGGAAACCGCAAAGATGACACACTCATCCTCCCTTTACAAAGTAGAAAAAGCTGTGTGTGTGTGTGTGTGTGTGTGGGCAGGGTGGGCAGACTACTGGCTGGTCCCTAGTTACCAGTATTCCAGACACTTCCTAATGCCAGATAAATGCCCAAGCCTCGGCGTGTCTGGCTTGGAGATCTATTCAGCTGATAATCGCTGCCTCTTTTGGGGAGAGCGGCTGTTGACTGGATGAAACACGACATTGTTCTCAGAACGGGTTGTGGGGGAGAGACTGGGAAGGTTTGTTTCAGAGTCACAGGTTTTTTTTTTTTTTTTTTTTTTTTAAGAGGCACCCAAGTTGCTTTAACAAGTTCCTGCAAAACTCTGGGCTTCCTGAACTGATGCTGTTTTGCACAGTGCGAGTACTGTACAAAGCTCCAGGCAGGGCGGGATCAGAAAGTGAGAGTCATTAAAAAAAAAAACTAAAAAGCCCCAGGCACTTGATGCCTGGAAATGATGTCAGAGACGGCCACTCCTCTGTTAGAACTACAACCAAACAATGCCGAGCAGCTGCTCCGTGAATGCCAGCGCCAACTCAGTTAAAAGAGCTACCAAGCCGACGACTCTGGGCTGCGCCCCTCTCGCCCACATTCTCCCCAAGCCCTTTCGGGAACCTGGCAACAGGTAACGTGGCAACCTTTGACTTATAAAATGGCAAGTGGCATAATTTCAGGGAACATTTTTTTTTTTTTTCCAAGCCAGCTGCCTCTCCATGACCACCGCTCCCCATTCCCCCACCTCCCTGGCTGGTCCCACCCAGCCCAAAGTCTGAGAAAACAAAGTGTAGCTGTAAGCAATCCTACTCGCGAGTGTCGCCTTGTGGCCAGGATCGGAACAGCATTTACGTACTCCTGAAATCCGCGGTTCAACTTCAAGGTGAGGCGCTGCTGTGAGAAGAGGGGGGACAACTCGGCCTTTTCGTCCAAAAAAGAGTAAGTCAAGAACTATGACTTTCTGCCTTTTAAACTTAATATCGTCACGAGAATATGACCGTAGCTGCAGGTTTAAAAAAAAATATATCTCTGCATTGCGTCGGGAGGGATTTTTTTTTTGTTGTTTCTGTTTCGAACCAGCTACTAGGATATAAATATATATATATTAGGTGGCAGATTAAAAAGCAAGAACTGCTGTGACGTTTTCCTTCCCAGTTCAAGGATTGCAGTGGATGGTGGTGAGGATTCATAACCAGGGAATGGGGGTGGGAGGACGGTTGAACTTGCCAGTTCTAGCGGAATTTGTACTTCCTCCAGACTCCTCCTCCCAGGCCAGACACTGCTAGTTCTTGGAGCCTGTTTACAAGGATTTAACTCAGGGTTTCCACATTGCAGGCCTGGCTTCCCAGAGAACATGCCTGCATGCCCCACCTTAACTCTTTTATCTCTGATCTCTGTGTGGGGCAAACACCCACCCAGATGCCAAGGGCAGCATTTTTGACCTCCCTCCTTCCCTCCGCACAGGTGCTCCCTTGCCCATGGGGGCTGTGGACCAAGGATAACTGTGAGCCACTCAGGTCGTTGTCCGAGAGAGAGAGAGAGAGAGAGAGAGAGAGAGAGAGAGAGAGGTGACATCTGTTGCACGTCGCTTTGGAAATCTTCCCTGGAAACTAAGGAGGTTGAGATCAAAGTAACTGCTCCCTTTAGAAAGTTTCATTCATTAACTAAATTAGAGGACATTACACCATGATGGGGAGGGTGTCGGTTCAGAGGGCCCAGATCCAGGGCTAAGGTCTAAAACTTTTCATGTGAAGTTTTACTGTAACTTGCCGATAAGTTAAATATTCGAAACAGAAGGTTTCCAAAGAATACATCTGTTGCTACTATGAGCCAAGACTAAAGGTGAAAAATTTGAGACTCTGAGTAAGAATCACTTGACCAGCAATGAAGAAAAAATATCTTCCCACGGCCAGGGCCGCCTTGTGGAAGCCAGGCTCCGGAGAACATCGGGTTTACTCACTTACAGAGCAGGGAAGGGTGTTGCTTCCAGCAGGGAATGCGAGCAGGATTTCACGGCTCATTTTCCCAGCCTTTCCAACAGGTGCTATTGAGTCATCCGTGTACACAAGCGGCCGCTTGGTCGTTTCATCTGTTGGGCTTCAATTTCCATTTGTTTCCATGACTTGATGAAGTGATTGCTAACCCTGAGTCAGATACATCACTTCCGCTTGGATTATTTAAAAAAAAAAAAAAACTAAACACATGTAACAATGTGTGTGTTTTGCAAAATGTGTCCTGGCCAGGTCGATGGATCTTCCTGGGTTGAATGGACTGTTTACAGGAGGGGAAGATCTGGGGCCCAAGGTCAGCTACAGGATTATATAAGGTTTCCTGTTTGGGCAGCTGGTCCACCAGCCCCTCAAGTGAGACCAGGATAGGTCTCGTTGGAATTCAGGCTGGTTGGGGAGGGAAGCAAACTTTTCTCTTTGGTTTTTCTGTGACCAGTTTTCATGTTGTGTCTGCTATCCCTTCTCAGCAACCAGATCCCATATTCCCTGCCAGTGGCTTTTCCCCCTGACCGGACGACAGGAATGTGTTCACTAGGAAGCAGTCAGCGCAGGGCACGCGCTGCAGCCTGTCTCGGTCACGGATGTCGCTTGGAACACGTGTGGGACATAGATGTACCTGAAGCACCTGGGGGAATGAACAGGGGAGAGTGAGTACTTCCTGAAGGAAAAGAAAAAGGGGCTACTTGATCAGGAAAGGGGGGTTCCTCAGGGTAAATAAATGCCCCAGCGAGGCCACCTCCGTGGCACCTGCCACCCTACGCTGCCTCCTCGGAGCCCGGCGGCTCCGTATTGGTGAGCTGTGCATTTGCACCTTCAGTCCACCCTGGAGACTTTTCCCAGTGCCCACACGGTGCATTGCGACAGCCACTCACACTGCGTTCACCCTGTAGATCTCTCAAGGCACCTAGAGAGGACTGAGAAGGCGCGTGAGGGTGTGCCCAGCTTCTAGGCACAGAACATGTTGTTTCATGGAAGGAAGTGAGTATCTGCAGGTTTTCATACCAGGAGTCCCAGCACCAGGTCCCCACAGGCAGGGGGGCGATTGTACCATCTTTGATCATCAACGTGCGCTTTTGTGTGGCACTGGTCAAGTGCCAGCCTAATTCAAGTATGCCAGCCCCCCAACTTTGGACGTGGAGCTGGTGTCTCAGGTCCTAACCTCCTGTTAGGATGCCATCCATTTACTGTCCTCCTGCAGAGTGTCACCCACGGGTGCCTGCTGGTGACCGTGGAGGGCCCTGGTGTGTTAGCAGCCCTTTCCTGCACAGCCGTTTCTCTCCTTGCTCCTACTGCTCCTGGGACTTGTTCGCTGCTGCTTTGTCTGCTTGCACACAAGTGGGATGATGGAGGGTCACGGGGCTTCCTTCACATCCAGGGTGTCACCGCACAAGCCACATCATCATACAATGGGATGATGGGGACCAGAAACAACGGACGAATCTGCAGTGGAATCCCGCAGTCTCCTGCCTCCCAGCTAGGTCTGGTGAAGAGACAGAGAAATGCTTGAATACGTTCCTCCCCAAGGGTAACTAATGACTGTGGATAGAAACAGGGTACAGGGTGCCAGCATAGAGAGCCGATTGGTCTTTCTTCAAGAAGGGAGAGGCGGTTGCACATCAGGACTGGGCATATCCAATGCCAAGCCAGGGCGGCTGAGGTCTAACTGACACTTGGATTACCAGTAGTCCCTGCTCCCTGGCAAACCGCCCACCCCCCGCCCCCCCGCTGTGTGTTGCAGGGAGGGTTGAGTTAGCTGAAGCTGCAGCTCCAAGACCAGGAGCTGTAGGGGAAGCTTCACCCAGAACCTGCGTGGGCTTCTGCCCCAGGCAAACTCAACCCTGAGCAGGAGGAGGAGGATAATGACCTGGGCCTGGGAGCCAGGCCTGTGGGAGGTATCTGCACTTAGGCACTTAATTATTCATCCAACTCCCCCCTCTTTCCTCCCGAAGCTCCCTCTAAAGGAATCATGGGAAATACTGTCTGAGTTAGCCTTGTGGTCCTGTTAGTAGCAGCCCACTTGGACCAGAAAGGCTCCACTGCCTTGCAGACACTCAAAGAACAGTGTTGGTACTTTCAAAGGATGCCTCATGTTCCAACTGCGTCCCTGAGGAAGAGGTGGGCAGACTCAAGGCCCCCAGCAGACCTGTCTGCCACCCACTCTCAGGACTATTTAAAGTGTTTTTCAAAGCCCACCTCCTAGTTAGGTGCCTGTTATTTGCCAAAAGTCAATCAAAAGGAACCTGGGTAGCCAGTGAGGCCAGCAGTGAAACCTCTATGAGTTTGCTCTCCAGCACCCTCCTCCCCCCTCTTCCTCCCCCAGCACTGAGGCTTTAATAATAAAGCCAAATGCTTTCATTGGAGTCTCATTAAATTCTTACTGAGGTTATGATCTCAATGCTGCAGATGGAAAGGAGGCTCCGTCGTTGGCTCGTCTAAGTTTGCCCAGGTGGAGTCAGACTGGAATCGAACTCGTTCCCACCAAAACCTTTTTTTTTTGTACCTTTAATTTTTATTTTAAAACATACTTGTCAGGGAGAGAGAGAGAGAGAAAAAGGGAGATACCATCTATCGTTTTATCCCCGAAGGTATTCAGGTCTCCCACACGGGTGTCAGCAAGACCCAATGACATGAGCCAATACTGCCGTCTCCCCTGGTCCACACTGGCAGGAAGCTGGCTCCCTTCTTACACGTGGAAGAGCTGCCTTCTCTTTCTAAATGGAAGGTTCTGTGAGCTGGCTAGGTCCCTATCTGGAGCCAGATAGAGCCAGACGTGCCTGGGAGTGAGGACTTTGCTAACACATTGCTCACTCAGCTGGCACAGGAGCACCAACTCCTTTATTACCTTTGCAAACCTGTGTGCAGACTGAGGTGAGGGTGTGTTGCCACACCGCACACAGCTCCAGGACCAGGACTTGCCTCATGGTCTCCAGGATTGCTAAAGAAGGAGCGAGGATCGAAGGAAGAGCTTGGAGTGGCCAGAGGGCCCCTCAGGGTCCTCCCGCAGAGGAACCCCTGCTCCTCATGCTCCATGCAGTGGACCACTCAGTGCTGTGGGTTGTGCAAGGCTTTATGTCTTTATTTAAGATTTATTTATTTTTATTGGATGGGGAGATTTACAGAGAGGAAGAGAGACAGAGAGAAAGATCTTCCATCTGCTGGTTCACTCCCCGAACAACTGCAATGACCAGAGCTGAGCTGCTCTGAAGCCAGGAGTCAGCTTTCTCTGCGTCTCCCATGTGTTTGTAGGGTCTCAAGGCCTTGGGCCATGCTCTGCTTTGTTCTCAGACCACAAGCAGGGAGCTGGATGAGAAGTGGAGCCTAATGCTTGGAGGTAGAGGATTAGCCAATTGAGCCATTGCTCTGGGCCTGGCTGTATGTCTTTAAAGAAAAGACAGAGCCAAAATGAGGCTTTATTATTCAAAAAGTAGACACTGAAAGTAAGTTAATTTTGGTGCAAAAAAAAAAATTTTAAAGAGCATCCATACCTTTTTCAAAATATCCATTTTTTTGAACTTAAAAAAAATGTATTTACTTGTTTGCTTCAAAGGTAGAGCAACAGAGATCTCTTCCATCAACTGGTTCACTCTCCAAATGCTTGCGCCAGCCAGGGCAGGGCTGTGCTGAAGCCCGCAGGAAGCTGGATCCTAAGTGGGGTAGGAATCACCATAGCCGGGACTGGATGTGCCACTCCAATGTGCGATGTGAGTGGTCCCAACAGGTCATAAACCACTGTGCATCCACACTCCCCATCCTTCCTGACTTCCTCGGTTGGGTGTCTGGATGTTCGTAGGTTTCTCTGTCGGAGGACGTCAACTGGATATCATTTGCAAGAGAATAACCGAGTGGATATCATTTGACAAAACGAAGAGAGACTCCCTCTTGCTATTGAGATATAAATGCATCAAACTCTCCTCTCTTGTGCCTACAGGACCCTCAGTCCTTACAAGTCTGATGTTGTTAATAAACTTAGTCCACGGGTATTACCGGCTCCGTGCACCGAGTCCGTCGCTGCCAGACAGTGAACACTCCTCACGCTGGTCGGGTTTCACACATCACCCTCAGAAAACACACTCTGGTGCTTTTTATTGTCTCGGGAATAGGGCTTTTAGCCATTCTCTCCCAAAGTGTGCAATACTGTGTGTCTGGGGTCAGATGTACCCTGGTGGAAAATAACGTTTGCAAAGGGGGCGTGCCTGATTCTGCTGAACTCTGCCCCGCCCTTTCTTTACCAACCCCTACCCTCAGGCTACAGTCTGACCTGGCCCACGGTGATTTGCACTGACCAGGAGGGCAGCGGGTGCTAGGGCCTGGCCGGGCTCTGGCTGATTTGATGTAGCCCAGGTCACTGGCCTGAGCGTTGATCTGTGTCAGGCACTGTTTATGGGTGCAAGCTCTAAGTCCGTGTGCAACTTGAAAATCATTTCAAAAGAGCATGCTTCCTCACAATTCCAACGCCTGGGGTACCTGACATCCACCCGACACGGCTTGAATAAAGCATCAATAGACAGAGGATTAACTTACAAAGTTCCCAGAAAATGGGATCAAAAAGGTAGAATCTCCAAAACTTCATGCAAAAAAAAAAAAAAAAAGAAGGCTAATTGTGGCAAAAACTGCATGAGACTAAGGATTTTTTTTTGCACCAAAATAAACTTGGGTTTGAATTCCATGATCTGTGAACTTTCTGAAGTAGGCGTGTGTGTCCCAGGCAAAGGGCGAACCTGCACGTATCAGGGCTTAGATCTTAAACAAACCCTGCACTGTCTGCTGCTATGGAGTTCCTTTCAGTGGCTTTACACACAAAGGAAAGGCTATCTAAGTTTTAAAGCCAGGGTCACCTTGAAAACTTCTCCACAAGCCCTGAAATGCTGCTGCACCAAGAGATTTTGGGATCTCCTGAGTGGGGCTGGCGTGGAAGCCTCACATTCCAGCTGTGCGCAGTGGGCTCCTGGGGGCAGCTGACCCACGCAGGATTTTCTCTGCTTTGTTTAACGGCCGCTTTGGTTGCTAGTGGAACCCAACCGGACAGGCTCCTTAGGAGCAGGAATGCGGAAAACGTTGAGAAAAGTCGAGCGAGTCTTTGGATCGAAGTTAACTATCCATAAAGGGTTGGAAAAATGGATCGCAGGAAAGGGTAGCGTTTGAATGGCCACAGCTCCAAGGTGCAACCCTTTGCAGCTGTAGATAACCTTGTCAGGTCGCCCGATAAAGCCACGTCTTGTCACCCGCAGGCACCTGGCTGAGAGGTAATAAAAACGGTTGCCTTATCTTCTAAGGGTGGGGCTAGGCAGACCACAGCCTGCAGTAATTATAGTAAACTGAAATTGCCTGTCCTTCACCAGGAAGAAAAAAAAAAAACAGGAGCGGGGGAGGAGGAGGAGGGATTGAGGAAGAAAGGAAATTGTTTGTCTTTCTCCTTGGGTTTGAAAAAGAAAGCCAACAAAACAGCAAGAAGTTTTCCTGGGAGTGAGAAAAACAGCCTGGCCAGACTGCCCTCACCCGGGGTTAACAGCATTGTTGACAGAACTGTCCCACGTGACGGCCAGGAAAAGAGGCTCACACAGCTGAAAATTCAAGCAATCTTCTTAGGAGCCCTCCTTTCTAAATGTAAATGACTGAGTCATTGCTTTGCTAAGGCGGGAAGCGAGTTACCCTCACACTGAGTGACTCATTCTTTGCTGTTAGCGCCTGCTGTCGGATAAAGCGTTTTAGCCCAAGCAGCAACAAATCTGCTTTAAAGACGGGCACAGCCAGAGAATTCCTCTCTTGCCGGCGTGAATGCCATCCACACAAAAGAGCTCCTGTTGACATCTCATTTACAATCTCCCCCAGGACACAGGCAAGACCGTTTCAATAAACCCAGCTCTGAAGCACTGATTGTTCCAAGTCTTCAGCTAGCCACAGGCTACCACCACTCCCTATGGTTTTGCAAAATAAAAGGTTTTTAGGTGTGTGTGTGGGGTGGAGGGGGGACCTGTGAAAACTGTGAGTAGAGGCTGGGGAAGGGAAAAACAAAAGTTCTGGGTGTGCGTGCAGGGAGAATAAAGTTCATGGCATTTCTCTTTTTTCTGAGGAGAGCACCAGAAATATCTGTACTGCCGATTGGTGGTATCTCGACCCCGTGCCAACACGGCGGCACTCCTGCAGCAGCTCTGCTGAACCAACGGCCACGGCTGAACCTGACCTCTTCCCAGCCTCCCAGCAGCCCCGACGGCAGCTGCAATGACCCACAGGTGGGTATTTACAGCGGCTGCTTGTTTCCCTGGGCACCGGTAACTCAGCCGCTCTCCAGTCCCGGTGGAGCTTTTGGGATGGACGTGGCAGCCACTCTTTACCTCTGGGCTCTCTCGTAGCCTCTTTATCCTGTTGTTGCCTCTTTTTAAATAAAGGTTGACGTTGCCTGGAGTTGTGTGATTGCTTTCCAGGGATGCAGTGGTAAGTTTCTAACTCCAGGTTTCCTAAGTGCATGTTGTTTTAACACCCCCGCACCCAATGGATTAACCTTCCTGGGCTCGGCACCTCAGTCCCTTCTTCATCCCTTGATCCCGCTGGCACTGTCCGTGTCACCTTTAACTTCTTTCCGGCCTTGTTTCCTCTCTTACGTCCCTCCTGGGATCCTGCCACGACCTCCTCTCCTGAATCTCAGAGCAGCTTTCTCCAGTTCTGGGTTTTGATGCAGCCATGGGTCATGAAATCAGCGGAGGTGAGTCATACAGTGTCGCCCTCTAGACGGCGGAAGCAGTTAAAGGGAATACCCGCGGACCTGCCTCGCGGAGACTTGCTGCGTCTCCTGTGTGTGCAAGGTGCACGGCCATTCTGAAGTGTATGTTGTCTGTGCGTTGAGAAAAGACTTGCGAATCGCTCACATGAAGTCCGTCTTGTCCTTGTTCTCCTACAGCCAAGACCGGAAGAACAGCCGACAGCTCCTGTCACTCCTGTGTGCAAATCTGCCCTGGGGTAAAGGATTGAGGGTTTTGAAGATTCCAGAATAACTCTTCATTGTCCTGATCGCTGTAACCTCTCGTGATTCCATCCACCAAGTTCCCTGGCTCCGTACAGGAAATTCACCCTTGTGGGAAAATTCGTTGCTCCTCTTGCTTCTTGACGTTATCAATTTAGGTGTCACTTGTTCCAGGAAGACATCTGGAATGCCCTCCAAATGTCAGGTTTTCACACTGATACTTTCCTGACAGCGCATTTTAGACATCATAATGTCTTCCCAGTTGTCTGCCAGAGCTTGGCTGCAGGTAGTCCTTCAGGAAATGCAGGCTTAGGCTGTGCTTGAACAGTGCAGACTTCTTGTGTAGTTATTAGAAAGCAACCTAGCTTTTTAAAAAAATTATTATTAATCTTTTATGCTTATCTATATCCAGTTCTTTGGCCTTCCAAATGCAATCTAATGCATTTTCAGATTTCCTCGGCTCCTCTTGAAAGTGACAGAACTCGGACAAGCTGTTTGTCCTTTGTGGATTCCTTCACCCTATTGAAGTCTCAGCTCCTTTACAGGGGAATGCAAGGGTAGAATTCAGTAATGCCTGAGAAGGCTTTGGCCTTCTGGTTTGAACTCTCTTCTCCTGAGGACAAGAGAGATCAAGGGACTTTCCCAAGGTAAAAAGCTTTTTTGGGGGATGGCGGTGCAGGGGAGGGACTTGCCTTCCTATAGAGCTTTTCTGAAAAGAAAGCGACCGACAGAAACAAAAATGTTTAAGTGCCACTAACAAGTCTGTATGAGGAAAATTTATAAAAGTAGTGAAAGGAACTTAAAACACAAGCTCCATAGCGAAATGACAGAGACCCTGCCGAAGCAGGTCCTACATCTTATCAAATCCTCTCACTGCAACTAGAATGGAGAAATGAACAGGGAACTGGCTCTGTGGCACTGCGTGTGAAGCTGCTGTCTGCCACGCTGAATCCCTTGTCAGAGAGCTGCTCTGAGTCCCAGCTGCCCCGCTGGTGTCCCTGGGCTGCTGGCAGGACATAGCCTACATACTTGCATTCTTTCCACTCCTGCAGCAGACCAGGATGGAATTCCAGGCCCCCGGCTTCAGGCTAGCCCAGCACCCTATGGGGAATGAAACAGCAGACACAAGCTTGCTTTCTCTCGCTGTCTTTCCAAATAAACGAAGAAATCCTGGCTAAAAAGTGTAGCAATAATCAGATCTCCTTTTCCAAAGGGAAGAATTTTGTGTATGCTGAGTTCTTAGCACGTGGATACAGTGAGAATGTTCTAGTGCCATTCCCGCAGCTGAGGCCCAGCTCCCGCAGCACGGACACTTCTCTAGGGTGAAAGGCCATCTCCCCAGGAGCAAATGGGGCCTCCATTCTTGTGCCCTGTTGCTCCTTCTCCTGCCAGAACCACACTAAAGGCTAGGCTTCTGTGCCTGTGGTGTTTGCATGTGGATGCCTTGCTGCATCAAGTAGAAATTCAACAATCACATCCCTTCCTTTGGGGGAAAACTCAAAAATGAACGATACTGCCAGCTGGGGCTAGAAATGATTTGAAACAGATTTCAACTTAAAAATAGTTCATTAAAAAAAAAAGGTGGATTAAGCTATTTTAAAAGCAAAACTAGAGGGAGAAAAGGAGAAATGGAGATCCTCTGTCTGCTGGGTCCCTACCCAGATGCCCCAGGGCTGTGTCGGGCTGAAGCCAGGGGCCAGGACTTTCATCTGGATCTCCCTGTGGGGCAGGTACCCAAGCATTTTCTCCTGCTTTCCCAGGCACATTAGCGAGGGGTCGATCTGCCACCCATATTAGATGCCAGCATCACAGATGGCAGATTGATTAGCTATGCTACAGTGCAGCCCACCTCCAAATTTGGAATGTTTTCACAAAAGTATGCTATACACAAAATGCTCTCAAATCAAAAACTTTTTTTGAACCCAATTTACAAAGCAGCATACATATTTCTGTATGTTAGTTATTTAAAAAGTGGTACGAGTTCTAATTGTAGTTCATAGGATATTACGATACTTTACGCGCAGCTAATTCCCGCAACCTGGTTCTTTACCGTGAGCTGAAAACAGCAGACGCAGAAGAGGCCAAGAAGAAGGAGAGAGAGAGAGAGAGAGAGAGAGAAAACCACACCTGGGGGGGGGCCTTTTTTGTCTGCCAGGTGTGGGGGGCGGGGATTCGGAGGGATTGAGGTCAAGGCCCCAGGGGATTGGTGCCTGCAGGTGAATGCCTGGGGATGATTGGCGAGTGGGCGGGGTTGGGGAAGGGGCTGGGAGACTGGGGGTGGGATTCTCAGGTGGAATGCCAGGTTACATCTGATTGGTGGATGGCTGGACTGGCGCGAATTCCGTGAGCTGTGAGGAAGAAGGGGATATTGGAATAAGTCCTTACACTGTACTGTGGGATATTGAATTCCGTGAGCTGTGAGGAAGAAGGGGATATTGGAATAAGTCCTTACACTGTACTGTGTTGCTTTTGTTTTCTCTAAGCCAAAAAGCAATAGCTTATTTTTGTTCAAATATTATGGTAAGACGAGAATGACTTTAAAATGTATTTCTCTGGTGAGGTAGACTAAGTAGCTAAAGTCCTTGCTTTGCACGCACTGGGATCCCATTTGGGTGCTGGTTCATATCTGGTGGCCCCACTTCCTGTCCAGCTCCCTGCTTGTGGCCTGGGAAAGCAGCAGAAGATGGCCCAAACCCTTGGGACCCTGCACCCATGTGGGAGACCTGGAAGAGGCTCCTGGCTCCTGGCTTTGGATCAGCTCAGCCCTGGCCGTTGCGACCACTTGGGGAATGAGTCAGCAGATGGAAGATCTTTCTCTCTGTTTCTCCTTCTCTCCTTGATCTTTGCAATTAAAAAAATTTTTTTTAAACTTAAAACAAAAATTTGATATGTGAGGGGTAGGTATTGTAGTACTCCCCGTTAAGCCACTGCTTGTAGCACCATATCCCATGTCAGAGTGCTGATTCCCATTTCTGCTGCTCGCCTTTCAATCCAGCTTCCTGCTAACATCCCTGGAAAGGCAATGGAAGAGGCCCAGATCCTTGGGTCCCTGCCACCCACCTGGGTGGAATTTTTGGCTCCTGGCTTTAGTCTTGGCTGCTGCGGCCATTTATGGGAACTGAACCAGTTTATCACCATTAGCTCGTGTTGTTTTTGTCTAGTTCTACTTCTACATGACCACCCAGTCTGCATCGAACCTAAGCATTTAAAACCAGTTTTCCTTGGGTCCTGGAGTCTTATGTTGACTCATTTCCCACATCATAGTAAGTGTTGGTTATATAGATTCGTTACGCTTATCCTCTGTTATATGGGTATCAGCCAGGACCCTACTGTTGAATAAGGAAAATATTCTACATCAGAAAAGGCACCAGCTGGAAGTTGGGCAGACCTGTTGCATTTGTGAACTTAGACCATTGAACTCTTAGTTTCTTTTTTTTTTTTTTAAGATTTTTAATTTATTTTTATTGCAAAGTCAGATAAACAGAGAGGAGGAGAGACGGAGAGGAAGATCTTCTGTCCGATGATTCACTTCCCAAGTGACCACAACAGCCGTTGCAGCACCAATCCAAAGCTGGGAGTCACGAGCTTCCTCCAGATCTCCCACGCGGGTGCAGGATCCCAAGGCTTTGGGCCGTCCTCGACTCCTTTCCCAGCCCACCAGCAGGGAGCTGGATGGGAAACAGGGCTGCCAGTATTAGAACCGGCGCCTTTATGGTGTCCTGGCGCATTCAAGGCGAGGATTGAAGCTGCTGGGCTATTGCGCTGGGCCTGAGCTCTTAGTTTTTGAGGAGCTAGGCTAATAGCACTTGTCTTTAGCAGCAGCAGGTAATGACCCAAGCTCATTAGAATCAGCAGCTCTCAGGATGGAGTTCCTGGGGGTTAGCCTGAGCGAGCCATAGGTATATCAGGCATCTGGGGAGTAAACTAGTCAATACAATCTCTTACTCTCCCTCTTTCTCTTTGTCTTACTCTGTTTTCTCTTATTGCCTTCCAAAAAAAAAAAAATTTTTTTTTAAAGATGCCCTTTTCTGGGGCCCAGCGCGGTGGCCCAGTGGTTAAGGTCCTCGCCTTGCACACCCAGGATCCCATATGGGCGCCAGTTCTAATCCAAGCAGTCCCGCTTCCCTTCCAGCTCCCTGCCTGTGGCCCGGGAAAGCAGTTGAGGACAGCCCAAAGCTTTGGGACCCTGCACCCGTGTGGGAGACCCGGAAGAGGCTCCTGGCTTCGGATCGGCATAGCATTGGCCGTTGCGCTCACTTGGGGAGTGAATCATCGGACAGAAGATCTTCCTCTCTGTCTCTCCTCTCTGTATATCTGTCTTTCCAATAAAAAAATAATAAAAATAAATCTTTAAAAAATAATAATAATAAAGATGCCCTTTTCTAATGATTAGTATGAGAGGTTTTAATCACTGGTTTAATTCAGTTGTATTCTCCTTGGAGAGCAAATCCATACTTCCATCCCAGCCCTGCCATCCCACACTGATGTAAGAAGCACACAGAAACACTGACCATGAAGAGAGCTTTTTTAAAGCCGGAACACTCCCACGGACCCAGCTCTCGGTTCTGTGCCACTGCTCCATGCAGTGGGTTCAAATGTTTCCCATCTCCTCTATATCACCTTTCACTTCAGAAACGAAAAAGAAGACATGTTGTGGCACAGCACGTTAAGCCGTCATTGTTTAGGATGCCCACGTTCCATGATGGAGTGCACAGGATCAAGTCCACATCCGCTGCTTTCCATCAGCTTCCTGCTTAGGCACCTCAAGGACAGCCAATGATCATTCAGGCATTTGGGCTCCAGCCACCTGTGTTAGGAGCTCTGGCTGGAGTTCCTGCCTCAGCCTAGCCCAGTCCTGGCTGTTGGAGGCATTTAGGGAATGAATCAGGGGATGGGCGATCTCTCTCTGTCTCTTTTTTAAAAGATTTTTTTTTGTTTTTATTGGAAAGTTAGATATACAGGGAGAATGAGAGACACAGAGGAAGATCTTCCATTAGCTGATTCACTCCCCAAGCAGTTGCAGTGGCTAGACCTAAGCCGTTCCGAAGTCAGGAGCCCGGAGCTAGGTCTCCCATGTGGGTGCAGGGTCCCAAGGGTTTGGGCCTTGGTCCTGTACTGCTTTCCCAGGCCACAAGCAGGGGGCTGATGGGAAATGGAGCTGCCAGGATTAGAACTGGAGCCCCTATGGGATCATGGTGTGTGCAAGGCGAGGACTTTAGCCACAAGGCTACCGTACCAGGCACAGAAGATCTGTATTTTCTGTCTCTCACTTCTATACCTTTCAAATCAATAAAAATAGAAATCTTTTTTTAAAAGG